TGGGGGAACCTTGTATGACCTGATAATGAGTAATTGATAATCTTATATTTCCTTGGAATCTGAAGATTTCTTAATGTATTTAAATTACACTTTCATGTAAGTGAAATGCCCCTTTGAAAGAATAAAATATTTGGTTTTGAGCTTCAAATTTCTCTACTGTTTTTTTTTAAACCTCTATAACCCTTATTGTTTTTTTAACTCATGCTCAGGTACTTTATGTGTACACACATACATACACACATACATACATACATACATACATTGTTTTTTAGACAGGCATTTTCTGTGTGGCTTTGTAGAACAGGCTGGCCTTGAACTCATAGAAATCTGCCTGCGTCCTCCTGAGTGCTGGGATTAAAGGTGTGCACCACCACCACCTGGCTCACTTTGTATAATTTTATAATGCAATAAATTTAACAAACAAAGATTAGCTGTATTTCTCTTTGAATAATTCATTTGATACAAAGTATTAGAAATATGAAATGGGGATGAAGGGAGATTGAGAATAATGTAAAATGTTACTGTTTAATATTGTTTTTAATGTAAAACCATGTCTTTCTGTGATGTGTCCTGTAGTTTTCTATGTTCTATTATTTGGAAAACAAGAGTCCCAGGAAAGCACTGCTATCAATTTCCTGCATGCTTAGGTAGTTTGAATAAAAGGGAACTAATTTACATTATGAACTTTTTTTCTAAAGGTAAATGAATATTAGCCTTTTGCTTCCCAGAGAAGCAGACTACGAGTCTCCATGTTTGGTTGTGTCTTTCTAGGAAGGTTACTTATACAGCAGTGATGCTTCAGGTTTGGATGGAGACAGTTTCTATGAAGATCCAGTCCTGCATCTGTGCTGTTCTGATTGTATGCTCACATCAGCAGTGCCACGGGGAGACTGGCAGGGAGGCTGAGGTGCAGCCAAGGTCTACTCATGGTGAAAAGTCTGTAAGAACATCATTGGAACTCCCCAATGTTTGTCTTGGGACAGGACCTCAGGAACTAGGTGGGGCTAATTCTGTGACAATTTCCTGTCTCAGTAATAGAGCTGCATGTACTCCAGGCCCACAGCTTTGGGTAAGCAAGAAGTCATCTTATCAATTTCCGCTGAGATGAGTGCTTGGGGATAGACTGCTGTGCAGAGCCAATAGATGAAGCTAATCCTCTTAGGAGGCAGCCAGCGTGGTTTAGAAGTTGGCTCTGATTATACACAAGGTTATCACAGTATCTGATTCGATTGTTCCATGTCATCAGACTGTGAAAACTAGACCCAAATGTTCCATCTATACTTATGCTTTCCCTGGGACTGAACAAATGAAGCCAAGTATCTGCTGACCACTCTGTCCCCAGTCTGTGCAACAAGGGTTGGAGATAGTTTCTTTCTGAGTTCGTATTTCTGAGCATTTCTTTTCCGAGTCCACTCTCTCATTTACCTGATAGTTAAGTTAATACCTTCAACTAAGCCTTTCTCAGATGACTCTGATAGGTGGAACTACCATTCAGCGAATGGCTTTAACACAACTGAACTCAGGGCATTCTGTGACTTCCTATAGAACATTGTTCTTGCCCACATCTTCATTTTCCTTGGCTCAGGACACAGCCTTATTCCTTTTTTCCATAAGAAAATGAAACAAAAAGCTGAGTGTGAACTCAAATCAAGCACTGGAGAAAAAAACAGCCCCTTGCTGGAATGTTAAAATTATCTTGGGGCTACATCTCTCTTCTATTTCTCCCTTGGTGCAGTATCTACACCATTCTGGGAACCAGATTCCAATCCCCACAGCAGCTGAGCTCTATGAGCACCAATCACAGCAAGTCCAGCCTCCATCTGCACAGAGAATGAGTTTCAGGGCACTTCCAGTATGTGGACTCAGAGGTTTCCTCTCTGATAGCTGTGGTCTTTTGAAAGCAAGCGGAACTGGTGGTGGTTTAACTGCTCCTATTTGCCTTCTAACACCTTAGCCACATCTTTTGCTGCCCCCCAAATAGTGGTGGTTTGAGTTTAACCATTTTCCAGGAAGCAACCACACTCACAGAGCAGGTAAACAAAAGAAGCTTGAGAAAGTAAAACTGCTATTAGCCACAGGATATTCTCTCTCCACCCCCCTGCCCCTAGCACTCTCTGCCCACTCTGAGGCTGCTGGCTGCCCAAGTGGACTCCACCAGGAGGGTGCTAAGAGGTTTGACACCACATGAGACACAGCCTGGTGCTATTGGTCAGTGATAACAACCCCACAAGTTTTGCTGACTGTCAGTTTCCAGTCTCGGTGTGTTTCCTTGTGCAGATGTATCTGGGTCTCTGTTTAGAGGCCAGGAACTGGATCTAAAGAGGTCTAGTCACTTCAGGAACATGTCAATTAAATTTCATCTTCTTAAGCCTGGCTATTCTTGTTTTGTTTCTTTTCGCCCCCATGGGAACCTCTGCTTGGTTTCACAGAAACTGAAGTTGTTTGTATGAAACCTGAAACCTTTCATCTTAAGTTAAAAATATGAACTCTAGCTTTAGGAAATGTGGATAGGTAAAGAGGTTATTCCCTTCATCCACTCTGAGCCTAATATGAAAAGAAGGATTTCTTGAAGAATAGCCTGTTTCCATCCTTCAAACAAATGTTGTACTAGGTGAGAGCAGACTGCTCACACCAACCCTCTGACATCAAAATTCTGCCATTCTCTGTGGAGCTTCAGGAGACACCACAGTTCTCCCTGCCACAGCTTCCCCTTGTATGGAACAGAGACACTCTATCCATTGTAGTACTGTGTATTTGTGATGCTTACTTCAAGTGACACATACTTAATCCACTGCTTGGAAATAGCACAACATCGGGATTTCCACCATTACTTCATTCAGATGTCAACCACGTGCTTTGTAACTTTACATGCAAAACTGAAATTACTTTATGCATTATTCTAAATATCATTAATTTTAGTGTGAGACTAAACATTAGAACATAATAATATGATGTGTATCCCAACAGGCAATGGAAAAATATTCTCATGGCATAAAAATAATGGGTAAATATTTTAGGAAAAAGCTATGCTTACCCTGATTTAAAGAATACTCAATGTTGTATATGGACTCCAACATTACATAGTATTCCATAAACATGAACAAATTTTGTCATTCAAATGAGAAGCTGGTATAGCTAAGAAAAGTCAAACCAGCCAGTATTCTATCTGTGAAATGTGGTTCCTGATTCAGGGTTCTACCATAAAACCATGTAGTTACCTGCTTGAGGCTGTTGTGTTGTGATAAAAAAAATCTTGGACCAAGGAAGTTGCATAACGTCATTCCTGCATCAGAAATTACCTAGATTCCCAGATTCTTCTAAAAGTAATCTAGTCTATGGATGAACCTGAGCATCAGGGTGCTACTCACATCCACACAATACCATTAAGAGATCTGCCACACTTGAGACTCACAGCCCACTGTATTAGTGCTCTCCCTAGAAGAGCAGTTTCAAACTAGACAAATGCTCAATGGAAAGCAGAATAGTTGTTCTAGCTTACAGAGTGACACATTTGTGGTTATTGTAGAGTAGATTGCACTTCTAGCTAGAGGAAGGATGAGTGAGAAAGAACAACAAGCCAGTGGCCTGGAGTAATCATGAGTAATAAAGAGAGGAACTCACAAGTCCTTAAACAAGTTATTACTAACTTTATTAAGGAAGCAGTGGGTACTTTTATAATTTGTGGCTTGTTTGATTTAATATTACTGAAAGATGTAGGGTATGTAGTACATTGATGTTCTCTCTCTATTATCTCTCTTTGATACACACACACACACACACACACACACACACACACACACACAAGATCAGAGAAATCTGGCTTTAAATTGTAAGTGCTACTTCAAAACAGTGACCTTTAGTAGTAAGATTAACTCTCCAATCTGTAAACTGTGGCCCAAAATTGTGGCCCAAGGGGCTGTTAGAAGATCAGAGATTTCTTGGTATGTAGCACAAGACATGATCCTATTGCAATCTGCTACCCTTCCTGTTAAAAGAATAGAAACCACTATTGGTGCCTTGGTGTGTGAGTGTAGTATCCACTCTCTCTAAGGTTGGGTCAAGGGCCTGGCTCTCAAGGACTTGCTTGTATTTGCTGTTACTTGTTCATTTAACATACAAAACCCTAGGGGATAGAATATTCTAACTTCATTTCAGAGGGCAACTGTGGTACTGAGAGTTGGGTATCAGGGGTCAGTCTCCGCCATCACTTTTCCTCTCGGAAGTTTTGGTCGCTTTCAGGGAGCAGTCTGAGGATCAGAAAACATTCTTCTGTGAAACATAGGCAGAGCTGAGCACACACAGTTGGAGTCATGTTAATATTTGCTCATTACCGAAAGAAAGCCCCAAATCAAATGATCCAACATCTGACGGCATTTAACAGCAGTTACATGGCTTTTTCAATTGTCAGTGGTTCCTCCTACACCCACTATTGTAAGAAATGTCACTACCACAGAGTCTAGACCAAGAGTAGGAATGTGATTTTGGACTCTTGTTACCAACCATTGCCAAATGCCATGACTCAGTTGTCTGCCATACCGTGCCTTTCAGGGTTAGGAAATGAAAGTAAAGATTGACAAAAGTAAACTTCTGGTATTTTAGAAAATTTATTGTCTCTAATGTGAAATACAAGGCAAGAATTCAAGCAGTTAAGAAAGCTCTTGAGGTTGTCTGGAGTGGAGGCTTCCAGGGAGTTAGCTGGTTCAAGGGGAACAAGGACCGTGGGCAGAAGCTACAAACTATGCATACTAGAGCTGTGACGCCTCAGACTCCTGGGGAGGAGACTGTCAAAGAGGATGGAATCAGGAGAGAGATGTTTTCAGTTATAGAGATGTTGCTCAGTTGTTTGTAAAAGTTTGAAAACTTTTATGCAATGACAGAATGATATACATTGGACTTTACAGAGGTCAAAGCTAGCAAGAAAATCTAGCTGGACCCCACAAGGCACCTTTTCACAGTAAAGGGTGAAAAGTAGCTGACTTGTTTTACCACCATTCACTTCCTTAGGACCTCTTCTTATTGCCACAGACAGCTGCTCTTCTAAACAGAAAGAAGCTGACCATGGCTAAGTGGATCACACTCTTGAGGAGTAGGAGAAGGTAGGTGTAGTAGGCTGAGGTGCTCGTGAACTGAAGCTGCCACACATCTAGAAGAGTTCTTTAATTAGTTCCATCTGCTGTTTTTTTGTTTTGTTTTGTTTTGTTTTTTAACATCATAGCACATCTTACTGAGGAGGGAGTAATAGGTATTGATTTCTGAGAACTTAATTGAGTAACAGTTCTCCTCAACCAAACCTGAGTTTCCAAACCTGAAACTCAACACTCACCATTTGCACTCACCCTCCACTAAGAGGGAGGCTGAACTTGGAAGTCAGTTTCTCTACACCCATCAATTCCAGCAACTAGCAAGTAACTGGATGACTTTTAAAACCTAGACTTAACTTTTATCATGCTTTCTTTGTGGTTAGACATATGAGTAAATGAATTCCTTTGTTAAAATAGGTTAGGATACATTACTTTGCCCCTCCTTAAAGTACACTTGAAGTGGTAGTTCACTGTGTTGCTGTGATCTGTGTGTAGTGACACATTAGCTGTAAATGTCACTGTCCATTAAGTAACATCCAGACATTTAGATATTTCTAAACTAATTCAAGGCAGTTCAAACATTGTTATATTCAAAAGGAAAAGTGCTATAATGTGACAAAAAGGCAAACATACTAAACTTACCATTATCATGCTTGCAAGTTGTAAGTCCAGTACTCATGGCAACTACAAGAAATGACAAGAAGAATTTGTTAATTAATATGCACATTATTTGACAGTTCTCTCTGTGTTTGTGAATATGCATTTATCTACATGCAAATGAAAACATATATCCTCACATAGACAGAAGTGTATTAAAATATGAACTCTATAATTATATAATTATATATAAATTTATATAATTATATATAGACTTAGTACATAACACTCACTTGTTGTGTTTCTGTACACAGAGGAGCATAAATTCATAAACAATATTTTTTTATTTTTACCCTAAAAAATATAGTAAACTGTCTAAAACAGTCTTCAAAGATAAACAGCCATATCTTTCCAAAACGCATACCTTCCCAAAGCAACTGCTCAAAGTTCATTGTTCATTGCAGATTCCAGAGGAGAAACCCAGACAGTGACCAGAAAGAGTTTCACAGGTTTTATATGTACTCATTCCTCACAGGTTCAGAAGGTCCCCTGAGCCTTGGAACTGTTGTTCAATGCCAGCAGTTATAACACACAGTGAATTGTGAGACCACTGCTAGGCCCTCTGCAATTCAACTCTCTGCCTGGACGTGCAGCCATGTACCTCACATAATTAAGGGGATCCTTTGAGATCTTATATCTGAATTATTCTGAGTACACTGGAAAGAGTATGCATTCTTCACTGTACATCCCCCTCCATGTAGGGACACTGACTAATCATGGTCTACCCACCCCCAACAACAAAAATCTGAACTGCTAAATTGACTCCTTTTTTTGTAGCAGGCTTTGACTCTTCCATTTGGATACTTTGTTAACTAAGACATCAGTGTTTGGGCGTTGAACTTGGTACACAATAAGATTAAAGTAAATGACTTTGCTTGTTTGGCAGAGCATTCCTAATTAAGTCATCAAAAGTGGAACCTCCATTTTAGCATTTATCATGTACTTAGAAGCTTGTTATTTTAAAGTGTCATTTCTGTTAATTCAATTAACAATTTCCAAAAAGGAAAGAAAGAAAGAAAGAAAGAAAGAAAGAAAGAAAGAAAGAAAGGAAAGAAGGAAGGAATGAAGGAAGAAAGAGAGAGAAAGGAAGGAAGGAAGAAAGAAAGAGGAAGGAAGGAAGGAAGGAAGGAAGGAAGGAAGGAAATCAGATCTGGATATTCTGGATAATGATGATGGCCTTAGAAAAGTTTAAGCAAAATTTTCACCTTTTCTCCTAAAGCCTCTGCCATCTTAGTTCTTTGGTAAAGTACAAGGTAAAATAAATGCAATGGTCCTGTTAACATAAGAGTCTTATGCTAATTTTTATTAGTACATCATAGAAAAACTGGGTATTTTCAAATACATTTTCTAGAAAGCTATATTTCAAAGGATATATGCACATACCTTTCTTTATTGGAGGAAACGAAATCTCTTGGTCAACTCCTTGTTTGTTGTTCTCATGTTTGACAATACATCTGTGCTCTTTGTGCATTGACTTTTCCGCCACGGTAAGCCAGCTAAATTTCATGTATGTGTAATTAGTCTTCAGTGTATTCCCTTCCTGGGATTCCAGGATCTTATCACCATTCTTTTCTTTCCAGTATACCCTTATAATGTCTGGGAAGAATTTCTCAAGGAGACAAAGATATGTCCCAGCCTTATGGAGATTTGTTTCAGCAACAGAAGGAAGAAAAATGGTGGGCTTGGGGGAAAGGTCCCCACTAAGGCTTTTGTCTGTAAGACAAAATGGAAAATTAATAAAGATAATAATAATGAGGATAGTAGTTGTTATTTGGACAGAGCCTCATGTAGCACAATGTAGTATCAAATTTTCTATGTACTTGTGGATGGTGTCCTCCTGGTCTGCCTTATACTGATTCCCCGGCATCTGCTCCCAAGTGCTGTGATTACAGACATGAACCACTAAATCTACTTACTCAAAATAAATATTGCATAAACACAAATATTGATTGGTTAAGAACCATTTATTTCTTCACACTACCTTTGTTTTCTCAGGGTGAAGCATACATGCATTTGGATGGATGGATGGATGGATGGATGGATGGATGGATGGATGGATGGATGGATGGATGGATGGATGGTTGGTTGGATGGATGGATGGAAGACAAGGAAACCAAATTGCTTCTATGGTCATTGTACAGATGAAGGTTTCTTGTCATTTCTAGCATGCTTCCCATCCCCGTCCTTTGGTAATTTGTTCTCTGGCCATTTAGTGCAACCCACTGCTCATTTAGCTTTTCTATAACGTGCCCTGCTTTCCTTATAGCTCAGTGGAATAGATGTCAGGAGGTAGCTTTGAAGTTTTCTTTGTAACTACATGAAGTCCCTTGTGTGATGAAGATATCCTCCCATGTGTGTTTACAGTCCATCAAGTAGATATGCTAGATGAAATTGCAGATTCCCTTCTCAGTCTTAAAGTTCTCAGGGGATCGCCTAGTTGATCTTTACTTTTAGAAACCATCTCACTCTCACATGAGAACCATTCCAGGTTTGGGCACTGGGCACATAGCTGCACCTCCAAATAATCCCTAGTGTGTTGAATTTAGGTGCTTCAATCTGAATGATTTCAGTGGATAAGCACCTAGTGAGATACCAGAGAGAGAGAGAGAGAGAGAGAGAGAGAGAGAGAGAGAGAGAATCATCTAGGGAAGGATATATAGAATATAGTGCTATAGAGGAAACTAGAATATGATTCAATAGGGAGAAGGATGGGAATGCAAAGTAGAAGAGGAATGTGGGTATGGACAACTAACACTAAAGGGTCTTTGAAAAATCACATGGAAATCTACAACTGTAGAAGGTTCCTAAAATATATGCTAGAAGGTAGTCTGTATGATTCCAGAGGAGAAACCCTACTACCTACAGTAGCAACCTGCTTGAAAGATGTAAAGGTAAAATTATAGAACATTTTATTGAATAATCAACCATTTTTGATTGGACTTCAGTCCTACTCCATGAGATGGAAGCCATACCTGATGCTGCTAAAGACTAGATAGGTCACAAGCCTAGGAAAAATATACTCCTATAATTCTGCCAATGGAACGTAACAATAAAATGACTCCTAATGACATATTGCTATGCACATAGACCAGTGCATTGCTCAACCCTTATCAGAGAAGCTTCTTCTTGAAGCATATAGTAATTAACACAAAGAATCACAACTGAACAATGTTCTGAAGTGAGAGACTTTGGAGAACTCAGGCCTAATTGGGGCTGTTGTCGTCATTCAACCTGTTTCCTCAAGGCTCAAGGTTATGTGGAAAGGAGGCAGAAAAAATGAAGAGCCAAAGGATTGGGACATCTGTTTCAATAGTGCCTTCTATATATGACAGGAAATTGTACCTATGAAATCTTAACAATATGGTCTCCTAAACAAGATATGAACAATTACAACACCAGTTGACACTCCAGCATGGGTGGGGAAACTCCCACAAGGCCACACTCCTAGATGAAGAACTACAGACAATAAATGAATGCTAAGAGAAGGAGAATTAGTGTTTTGTAGGAATGGGTCCCTGACAAGTTGTCTAATCCCAAGTGGTTTAGACATAAGCATATACATATACATATGAATGACACTAAGCAGACTTATCAGGTTGTATTTACACATACACATGTGAGCATATACATTTACATAACAATAATAGTTACAGAAGAGACATGAATTTGACAGGGAGGAGTTCAAAGAGGACGAGGGTGAAGTGAAAAGGGTATACATACAGTACTCATGTATGAAATTCTCAAAAATGTAAAAAAAAATACAAAATAAAAACAAAACAGTGTTTTCACAACTTCTACTAAAAAGTTTAATGATTAACAATATCTTTTTTTGTTTTTTGAAATAGGGTTTCTTTGTGCAGCTTTGGAGCCTGTCCTGGAACTCGCTCTATTGTTCATGCTGGCCTCAAACTCATGGAGATCTCCTGCCTCTGCCTCCCAAGTGGTGGGCTTAAAGGCATGTGCCACCACCACCTGGCTAACAATAAAAATCCTTTAAAAACTTATTTAGAGTTATGTTTCTTTTCAAATAATGAAATGGGTTGCTAAAGAAAATTAATGCCTCCAGATGGAAAGTGTGTGTGTGTGTGTGTGTGTGTTTGTACATAAATATGAAGATAACCATCCATTTTAGCAGTTAGAAGTCCAGTTGCATCTCCCAGAAAACTTTTCTGTATAATAAATGTTATTGGCTAAATGATAACATATCACCTCTCCATGGTGGAGACAATCCTCTCCACAGTTTTTGTGTCTGCTATGATTTGAACAATGTACCACATGCTTTATTCACATTATCACCTTCTGTTCTCACATAATCTTGCCATTCATGCCCTCATCTGTCTTACTTATTAGGAACTGAGCACAAAGTCTCCTACGTGGTATAAGTGGAGAAACAAAGCCCAGACTTCTTCACAGCACACTGGACCTGGAGGAAAAGGAAGGCAACTGTCTATTGAATCTATAACACACTTGTCTGAAATAATAAGCACCACACCAGTGTCAAATGCTTCAATAAATGACTTCCATATGTGACATATGAATGTTTTATGAAAGTCCAAATGTCTGCAAGTATTACTAGGATGTTTGTACAGTGTTCTTCAGTATCAACATTTGAAATTGTAATCTTCTGGAAAGCGTTGCAGGGAATCCTGCTCATAGCCCTCTTCTTTCTAAACATTACACCTCCAGGCCACTATGGCCATGCCTTGCCTCAATTAGTTTGAAAATATATTTGTTCAATATCCACTATGACAACACATTTCATTCCTCTACCAAACATGGAGGATTCAACCCATATCAAAACTACTACATTAGTTTCATGTCCTTGACTCTTTAGATTCCAGGGACAACATCAGGGTCTGGAATTCTTGTAAGAATAAGACTTGGTCCTGACTTAACTGATTCATAGCAAGTTCTGAGATGGAGCAAATCAAACAACTTCTAAGTTTTAGCTGTTTTATTTTCCATAAACATATCTGCTATGGTAAATCAATTCAGCCTCACTACATCAATGAAACCAAAATAAAACTAGATGAGAAAACTGATTAAAAAGACTAAAAATGCAGAGGTTATTACAGTCATCAGTATGGCTGCCAGCAACAACAACTAGCACTATGACTTGCACTTGAATAAAATATTGTCTTTCCATGGGAAAAAAAGCTTTGCTGTTAGTCAGAGTAATGGAGGGTTTGGTTTGAAATTAAATCTAGGTGAAATGAGGAGAGCCTCATCTACAATCTACGGTGTTATAATCTACCTGGGTTTTCGAATCCACCATCATAAGAAATCTGCTGCTCAAGGAAAGCAAAGGGGAATGTGATGAAGCCTAGAGTGCATGCCAATGCATGGAACACTGTTTTTACTGTCGAAAACAGTGCCTGCTCTCCAAGTCAGCAGCACAACACATGGGAATCAGATCTTTCTCTGAAAGTTCAGATACAAGTTCAGCTCACACCAAACTCTATTTTGCAGCTGCTGTCTTGGATCTTTCTTGAAAATCAACCGAAGAATGCCATGAGATCTTGTCCTCAAAGCCATGTTAGGACACTGCTATCTACCTGGCCTCATAGGCTAAGAGTACTGGTGTGTGTGTGTGTGTGTGTGTGTGTGTGTGTGTGTGTGTGTGTGTGTGTGTGTCATCAAATGGTATGATTTAGTTGCAGTATCAATGGGTTTGTTTAATTGCCACATTTTATTTTTCAAAATGAATGTTGGAGACAATATCCACTCAATATCTGCTTTTCTTCTGAAGGATATGTGCTTTGAAATGTTTTTCTAGTTTTCTTTTTTCTGACTTTGTGTGTGTATGGGAAACCTGCAAGTTCCTGTGTGTGACTTCAGCAAACACTTGCCATATGTCCATGTGGCAATCAGAGGATAGCCTTACTTCAATCATTACCTTCCATTTTGTTTCAGAAAAGATCTCCTTGTTATTTACCATTCCAGATTCCAGTGTAGCAGGCAGGTGGCCTTCTGGAGCTATCCATGCCTCATTGTCCTGCCTTATTTTAGGGTCACATGTGGGTTCTGCTGTGCATGACTTTAGGCTGACTCGGGGGATTCAAACCAGGGTCCTCACATTTATGCTGCAAGCACTGTACCCACCAACTCACCTCCCCAAATACTTCTTTAATTTTGAAGTGGAAAATTTATCACATTTGAAAATTGATGTGCTCCTCTATCGGTCAATAAAACAGGTGTTGGACTATATTTGATTTTAACCTCTAAACATAAAGTTGTGTTTTTCAATTACTCTAAACTCTTTGCTCAGGTCTCCCATGCCAGAATAGGAAGACCACAGCTTTCTTAGTTGTAGCCTGACCTCTCTGGACATCATTGGTCAAAGCAGGAACCATTCTAAGGATGCTGAGGCTGGATCTCACAGCACCTGCACCCCTGCCTCTCTCCCATCTCTACTCCGAAGAATAGAAAGAAAATGTTCCCTTAGGCATGTGCTTTATGCCAGGGTGAAACACTTGGATGGATTTGCATGTAATACCCAACATCTGAAATTTAGCTTGTGAACATGTAAAATCGCTGACAATATTTTGTTACTGTTTATATGAATATGTAAAATTGGCTCTACTGAGGTTGAGACAAAACTCAAGCAAAGTCACATAAGAGCTAAGTGTAACTAGGAATCTAAGGTCTGAGAACACTCTGCCTTGCAGTTTGTGTCATTTCACATAGGTGGAAAAGTTTTATTTTATTTTTTTTCAACATGTTCCAGATGCTCCTGTATTTCTTCCCTTAAAGGGCTGTCACTTATTAATAAATTCTTATCCTAGGATGCAATTTATAGTTAATTGAGATGTCTTTTTCAGAGGGGAATTTTCAGAGAGAAATAAAAGCAGTAATATTTGTACATAAATACTAATAATTTGACAACAAATGTGTTCTTATTAAAAACCAAGATACAGAAAATGAAAATTTGGACTATAAAATCATCCTACGCTTCCTTGAGAGAAATAATGATCAAATAAAGGTAGAAAAACTATGAAAGCCTTTTACATAGACACTGAACAGAAGTGGTTTGTGTAAACTACAAATTCTAACAGAAATCTCCAGGTAATATTTCAAGAATTAGAGTGACATAAACCGTGACTGGTCACAACCTACCGTCCAAGGAGTCAGACAAATAAGAAGTGGATTTATTCATGTTCTTCAGTAATTTACTGTGAATTATGATCAAAACCAACAATAATGATTTTCCAGTTTGTCTGGAGAATGTAGCACTAGTTTTGTTTCAAAATACAGAGAAAAAAGTCAGAAAAACTCCATTTTGAGGACTCACTAAACACCTTTTACAACACTATCCTGAAGCAATAATTTATACCAATAGTCTATGCACATGATCTTAAGAATGACTCCCACTTATACTTTGTGTATTTGATTATTCTAAATATAGCTTCAGTGTTTTCTGGGTGGAAAGAAGAAACCATTTATAAAGTAGTTTTTGCTTTCATATTCAATAATATATGCTGAAAAACACCAGTGATGACAAATATATATATATATATATATATATATATATATATATATATATATATATATTTGTCATCACTGGTGTCAAGCAGAAAAAAAAGTTACTTACCAGAAGGGATTACTATGAGCTTCGTTCCTTCTGCAAATACCTTGCTCCAGCCCGAGCTATCACAGTGCTCACAGCTTCTACAAAAATCTGAACCTTCTCCAAACATTCATGACATGATATGCAGGCTAAAACTTGGCATAACAAACTGATCTGGGTTCCTTAGAAATCCACTGAATATAAATTGTATGACATCTGGTAACTTTTAAGTTTCTTCACAAACTAACTTCATACATTGTTTTCCCTGGAGGCAGTGATAATAGAAAGTAAAGGGGGTGCAACTGGAGAAGAAGAGAGTTGGGCTAACTGGTTAACCAACTGTTTTTTTTTTCCCAAGTAACTAGGAAAATATTCTAAGAATTGTTTTGTTTTCAATTTCCAGGAGTTAAGCTGAGTTGAAACTGCTCAGTGTTTGCATCAAAGGAATGTGTTTTCTGTTCTCACAAGCACCATTTTTTTCCTTAGGAAATGGGGAGACATTTCTGAAAAGGGGAAGCTCTTTAGTAATTTAAGATAAAAATGTGCCAATGTATTTGAAAAATGTGAGCCAAATTCTATATGTTCAAAAGGCTGTCATTATTAGTTGCTGTTCATCAAGAATCATTATTATAGCCATGTCAATGAAAAATGTAATCTGTCATGCCTTACTAGAATAGAGAAGAAGGCTAGATAAAAATTTCATCTGTAAAATGCTGTAAAATTTCATTGATTGATTTTAAATAGTAGTTTATTGACAATTCCAGTTTTCTAATACTCAGAACAGTTGCTTACCCTTTGGACTTAACACAGCATGGTGTGCTCTCAATCCCTGTTCTCTACCGTTAGTCTTTGTTCCAAGACCAGGAGGAGAATTATCAGAAGCTTTAAGACTTGTCTGTATTTAGAGAGACATAAATTAATTTAAAACACAAAAGAGTAAATAATGAAGGATAACAATGTGGCTTAGTTCGTAAAAGCATTCATTTCCAGATCCAATAACCCGAGTTTGACTTCTGGAACTCACATGGTGGAAGGAGAGAACCAACTCTCTTAAGTTGTCTTCCAATCTCTGTATTCATGCCTTGGCATGTGCACATCCACACACATATGCGTACACACAAAATAATTGTAAAAATTAATGAGATAAAATGTTTCATTGCATTTGTAAAAAAAATAGTGACACACACATTTCTAATTGGACTTAAGATGGATCCACAAGAGGTATACCATGCCTGGTACTGGAAACCTAACTAACTATTGAATGCTAGCAAACTCATGGTTATTGGGAGAGAATCTCCAAGTACTGATTTACTAAACCAGCAAAATCACTAACAGCAATCAATAAATATTTGTCCTTATAATCACAGGTAAGTGTAGCCTTCACTTCTTATCAAGGAAATTTCTATTTGCTTCAGATAGAGAAAATTGTAACCAGAAAAAAAGTAGTGGGCCACAATCCCAGTGGATATATCTACAAAGACAAAACTCCGCAGCTATGGCTCAAGGTACATTATGGAAGAGGGGACAGAAATATTGTAGGTGCCAGAGGATTTGTGCATTGTCTGCAAGATTGTGTCTCCTAGTAATATCAGAAATTCTATTAATAAAATCTCACCAATGTGATTACCCAAATGTAAGCAGAACAAGGATGATACCAATGAACAGTCTAAACTGGATGGGAGAAAGTCCACAAGGTCTGTCTTTACTCACAGGAAACTGAGTAAAGCCAGGAGTAGGAGCGGTGGTCCTCCCCAGGGAGGAGCACATCAATTGGTTTCCCAGTGCCAAACAATCAACCCTGAAAAGATACACACAAGTAACATCATATGAACTGAACAGGTTATATTAAAAATATATATATGCATATACAATATTATATGCATATCATAGCAATTAATGAAAAAGAGGCCGTGAATATGAAGGGAGAGCAGAAAGGAGCATATGAAAGGGCTTGGAGGGATGAAGGGGAAAGGAGGAATGTAATTAAATTACAGTCTCAAAAGTAAACAAAAAAGAAAACAGGAAGATATAAGCACTATATAAACAAAACAGTATCAGTTTTAGCAATTGTCCACTAAAATCCGAATACATGAAGAAACACAATTATAGAGAAAAAAAAACGTACACTTATCAGGAAGCCAGTATCTTCTAAATTCATATTTAAACTAGCCACAATTCCAATCTTGACTACTATAAAGTTTGCTTTATTTTTTTCTTACATGTGAGTGCTAGAATTTGGATAATTAAGTATATTATAGATTCTGTGAAGATTCATGAACACTAAATGGCAAAAAATAATTCTCATCTAGGAATGGTGGCTGTAATCCTAGCTAATTAGGAGGTTCAGGCTGGAGGATCACAAGTCATCCTAGGCTTCACAGTGCGTTCAAAGTGAGTTGGGACAATGTAATGAGACTGCCTCAAAAATGAAAACTGAAGAGATGGTTACGGATATGGCTTCATTGTATAGCACATATATATATATAAAACCCTAGGTTCATTCCAAGTCCTGTGAAAACTAATTGATTACTTAATTTGAAAAAAGAGTTTAAAAAGACATTTGACTAATGGTATAATATATTATTGATACAAGAATCATGAAATACTGAAACAAAAAATTTCATAGAAATGGTCAAACAATGTATGGATGTTCAAAATATAACTACAGTGAAAACTATAAGGTAATCAAGAAAGAAATTAGAGAAGACAGTTGAAGACAAAAAGCCTTTCTCTGTTCATAGACAGCTAGAATAAATATTGTTTATATGGCTACATTGTTAAAAGTGATATGCAGGAGCTGGAGAAATGGCTCAGTGGTTAAATCACTGACTGCTCTTTCAGAGGACCTGGGTTAAATTGCTAGCATCCACATGACATGACCATTCACGACTGTCTGCAACACCAGTTCCAGGGGATCCAGCACATCTTCTGGCTTTATGGACACTAGCTATGCTTATGGTGTACATACATACATGTATTCAGGCAAAGCATCTATTCATATATAATGCAAAAATAAATGTTTTTGAAAAGAATACATGAATTTGAGCTAGGCAGCAGTGGCACCTGCCTTTAATCCCAGCACTTGGGAGGCAGAGGCGGGTGGATCTCAGTGAGTTAGAAGCCAGCCTGGTCTACATAATGAGATAAGTACTTTTCTACAATATTCCCATTCTTAGTCCGTATCATGTCATTATGTAACAACAGAAGTGTCCCTGTGCAGAAGAGCAGGTCATGATAAAGCACTGGGCCTGTCTCTTTGGACTTACCCAAGACCACTATTAGGAAGAGGACAAGCCAGAGCACACACAGCAGGTGCTTCCCATTCATGATTTTTACTATCTGTCTTCTTTCTGCATTAGATTATCATCCAGTCTCTGAGGGTTTTGTTCATACTGAACATGTGGCATGCCCCTACTTTTATTACAGAAATTTCTCTATATAGAGAGTTCTCATAAGCAAACATGCCATGTGGAGTCCATGGCTCTTTTGGCAAATATGAAATGTTTTTCTGTACCAAATGAGGATTTGTGACAGGAGTTTCTGTGGAAATTTATTGTCAGCTCAGCTCTAAAATTTTCTTTCTCCATGTTCCAGGATGACAGGTACAGATTCTGGGCTTTTGGTAGTGAACAGGAAGAGAATTCATAAATATAGAATCTGCCATGAACCATCATCCGTACATTTACCTCTTTCAGCTGCATCTATAAATTGCTATGGCCAATATATCAGGTGGGACCATATTGTCTTCTTTACAATACATCCACATTTTTGCCTTAGAAGGCATGGGAAACAAGTTTGAGAAGAAATAACCAATATTTTGGATGTTGGAGTCAGACTGGAATTGCAGTCACTTTATTTGGCTGCTCCTGAGACATCTGCCGAGAAGCATATGCCTAGAACACTGTTGCATAGGTTTTGTTGCCACTGTTCTTATCTAGGTAAGAGTCACAGGGTGTTAGAAACAAAGTCTGCATCTCTGTAACAAGACAGGTGTCAAGCCAGGGCCACCAACTCTGAGTCAAATTTATGGCCTCAGCTACAAGTGATCCATGGTTTCATGGTGTAAAGTAAGAAATATAGGCCTTGTACCAACAAGTCCTTCCAGAACTGGCAAAAACTTAATAAATATAAACATGAAGAAGTTATTCTCTCCCCCCCGTACCCTATTTATGCCACAGAAGCTCTTCCAGGTATTGAGACTTCAGAACCAAGAGAAAGTTGCAGGAATGAAGGTGGACAGGTAACCATAGGAGAATAGCATGGGGATGAGGGGGTATGGAACACACCCCTCAGTTGTGCAGTAATGTCATACTTGGCTTATGTCAGCCAGTCTAGATTGGGGGTCTAATGGCATATGGATGTGAGGCTTATCTGTCACTGTGTCTCTTTGAATGAATGTAATATTTCTAAAAAGAAGTTTATATTAGTAGTGCACATAAGAGAAACAAGAAAAGAGATTGGATGGAGGTGGAAACAGGGCTATAGTGACCCAGTGACCTCTCTGGGCCACTGGCTTAGGACAAGCCACTTGCCTTTTCCAGGCTCTAGCTTCCTCATTTGCAGTGAATCTCTGAAAAAATGAGTCCCAAGGACCCGCCCAGTCCTAACACCTGTCATCCTATGAGTGTGAGCACTGAGGGTCCTCGGTGGTTGAGGGACTGTGAGTGCAGCTGAAGAGTGGGGATAAGAAGGTTTTCTTACAGGTTCCTTCAGATAATGAGACACCGTGAGATCCCAGCAGGCACAGTAGTATGTGGCTTCATCTGCTGTGATAACATTGTTGATTATCAGGTAAAAGGTACCATCATTCTCATAAGCTTCCAAACGGGAGTTGGGCTTGTCTTGCTTGTAATTCTTGGCTGAGCCATAGAAGATTCGTTTCAGGGACTCCCCTTCTTTCATTTGGTACCAGTGCACAATGGTGTTCTGCAGGGGGACTCCAGAGAGCTTGCAGCTTATGTGCACTGTCTTGTTTGGGTTTCGGGTAGAAGACAGCTGATCCTGAGATATCCAGGAGTCTCCATCTGAAAAGTGAGAGAAAGAAATCAGAGATTTCCAAATCATTGTTAGTCCCCATTGGCTCAGTACACAAAAAACAATGAAAAGGAGCAACGCCAACTTACAAACCCAAGGCAAAGACAAAAGGAAAACCCACGGGATTGGCATATCCAATGGTAGCTGGAATAGCCACATGAGACAGTGACTGGGACCTCAGCTACAGTGTAGTAAGATTCAACTGTAGCTCTGTGGAAAAGGGACAGGGGAGGAGATGCAAGAAGTGTTTCTGAGCTGATGAAGGTCCTGCCCAGTGAGATGTGTCATTTTATCAAGTTCCTGGTGCAAAGGATCTATCAAATACCAGAAGATGTCATCAAAACACCTGTTACAATAGCAGTATTACCTTTCCTATTGGGAATTATTCCCCCAAACCCTATTCCTGTTGTCCTTAAGAATAATTTCAGTGAGACCTCTCTTTGACATCTTTCTCACTCCCTCGGTTTTAAACTACTTTCCTTTTTTGTAACTACTGTGGGTAACTATGAATGGTTTTGTGGACCAGTCTTTTTTGCATGCACATTTGATATACTAGTAGTCTATTTTGACCTGATAACTTTATATTAACAAGCAGTGTGATGAAAGATACCAAGCCATAATCTTCTATTGTGAATGAAGTCCTGTTAAGGAAAAACATCATTTCTTTGACCCATTCATAATTAACCTTTCAGAATTACAGCTCCGCCTTAATTTTGTTGGGAGAACATGAAAGACATGCTTTGCTGAGGTTGGAGCATTCTCACTTGAGCTGAGATAGCTCATTTAAGTGGTTGTATTGTAATGTGAAAAGACTTAGATTGGCTGATCACAATGCTGGGAACTTTCAGATGAAACTTCAGGGAGTCCTCAGCGTGCTGCACACTTATTAGCACGGTGGCTTTGAGTTGAGAAGCTCTGCTTACTCTCGTCAGTGAGTGACTGAGTAGGAAAGTGAATGCAGGCCTATGTCTTTCAAAAGGCTTTGGGCTGTCCATCACTACTCACAAAGACCACAAGCTTTCCTGAGCACTGTACTTTGGCCTCCTTCCCTGGAAGGTTTCCATAGTTAGGGAAGCAGTAACCGTCACAGACACTGATGAAGGTGGCCCAGGCATGGGATGAGAAGAGGTTATGGGGTCCTGGTGAAGGAGACATTGCATGGCCCTTGGGTGTCTGGTGAGATCAAACTCAGGACACAAATACAGCATAAGAATGCTTGGTAATCTCAGTCATATGTCTCTGGAGAGTGGCGGAAGGAGGTGATTAAGTGCACAGGTGGGATCAGCCTGGATGGCTTCTGTTGAGTGGTAGTGGTCTAACCCTGTGGGAAGTGTAAGGGAAGGCATGTGGTCTGTGCAGGCAAGCCTCATGTGGAGGGTTTTTGTTTGTTAACGGTGCAACATCTTGATAGAGTGCATCCCACCATGCACAGTAATATATTCCTGTGTCCTCTTCTGTCACTTGGTGTATTCTGAGAATTGAAGACAAGTCACTGTGCCATTTCTTTGCCTCATATCTTTCCTTACTAAAACCTTCCTCATAGACAGTGTTTTCTTTTGAAGAAATATATAGCATTCTTTTTGGAGGCTGGCCTGGCTTCTGTCGGTACCAGTGTACATATGTGTTGTGATTCAGAACACTTGTTTTTATTAGGCATTCGAGAAATGCTGTATTTCCTTTTTTCTTGGTGATATATGGCATCAGATGTGAAGTGGGACTGCTTCCGCTTGCATCTGAAAGATAACAAAAGCTAAAATTTAAAAAAATTCAAAATTGTAAATTTTGAATATCATTGAGATGATGCACATTTGGGGTCCAAGTCCAATTCAAATCAGCATCTGGGTTTTGTGGGTTCCCACCCCGACCCCGAATGTGCCTTGAGGGATTTAGGATCGTAGTGAAACTTGTTAGGTCAACATGATTGTGTGATTGTCCTCCTTGTGAATGTGGTGTGACCTGACTGTCTCTGTTTTCTGTGGCCTCCATTTCCCAGAGTGAAGGACATCTTACTCACAAATCCTGAGGGAGGCCAGCATGAAGATTTGCAGCAGGAGCCACATTCTGCAATCTTTGTCCTGAGGAGGCACTGAACACTAAGGCTACACAGGCTCAGAGTAAAAGAGACAGTGCAGGAAGAGGAAGTGGCATTCTGGGGACTGAAAAGGGGGACATGGTGTTTCATCAAGATTTCCTGTGGAAATTGGTTTACCTGACCCACTGGTTAACAGATTTCTCTACTGTCCCTATGAAAGACGTTTATCAAAACTGTCAATTTAGAGAAATAATTTCTTGTCCTGTTAACATGCCTCAATTGTACATATCAATGGAGTGCGGAAATACTACACATGTATAGTGTTCACTCTCCACTCTTCTCAAGCCCGGTGAATCATGATTTCAGTTTCAGACTGACAGTTTTAAATTGTGCATACGTATGAGAGAACTTTTGGTTGATTTTTGGTCAGAAATGATTGTCTTGTTGAAAGATTAACATTCTTTATTAGGTTACTCCTAAAATACAGACAGACTTAGTGATGAGTAAGAGGGAGACAGATAAAGTAGAAAGAGAAGAAAGGAAGAAGGGGAGAAAGAGAGGCAGAAAAAGGGAAAAAAGAAGGAGGTGGAGAAGAAAGGGGAGGGGATGGGAGGAGAGGAGAGGAAAGGAGAGCAGAGGAGAGCAGAGGAGAGGAGGGGAGGGGAGGAGGTGAGGGAAGGAGAGGAGAGGAGAAGAGAAGGAAGGGGAGGGGAGGAGAGGAGAGGAGAGGGGAAGGGAGGGGAGGAGAGGAGAGGAGAGGAGAGGAGAGGAGAGGAGAGGGCATCCTTCCCTCACCTATGCCACTGCATGGCAGATGAGGGGAATGGGGTCAGCTCTGTTGCTCTCACACCCTTAGGGCTGTCTTACCTGCATCCCAGTCTACAGGGTCAGCTACCCAGGTGAGGTGCATGCCTGTGGTCAAGGGTAGGACCATCTTTCCAGAGTGTGCATGGGAGATGGCAGCTCTCCCCTGAAGGGTGGAGCCAGCTCTCCTGATGAAGTATCCAGCAAGGGGCAGGGCCTACTATACCACAGCCAGTGAAGGGAGGGGCTGGCTCAGCACACTTCATGAGGAACTGTTCATTGCTCATTATCACCCTATGTCTGGCAGTTTTGAGTACAGGTCTCCTAGGTAATCTAGACAAAGGAAATACCTTCCTAATTCTACTTTTGAATGTTCCTGCTAAATGGGCATGTTTCTCACTGGACTAACTATAACCTTTAAGAAGGCCTATTATTCCCTATTACAAATGAGTACATGCTTGATAATGATCATTAAAAAACACAAAAGGAGAAGATAAAGCACTCCTCTTTGTACCAGAGAGGTGGTGCTGGGCAGCATAGTCACATGATCAGGTTCATATGCATAAACCCAGAGGACTCCTGGTAAAATTACCTAATCCCAATACTCCTTGGGAAAAATATGAAAGCTGAGCAAGGGACCTGAGCTGTCTGGAGCACAGTCTCTCTCTGGGAGTGTTAGGAATCTGTCTTGTCAGGGAGTGTAGTTGTGGATCCAGAAGCTCCTCCTAGGAAACTTGGGGTTCAAGGAGATGGTGACAATGGAAATGTTGTCCTTTCTACTCCCCTTTCCCAGATCCCTGCTGTTTTTCATTAGCACTCTGAAGCTAGTGATAAGAGAACAAACATTTTGTGCTCAAAGCTGAAATTAATTTTCCTGTGGATTCACTGTGAATAAAAAACTCAAAAAAGTTAGCAAAGAAAACTTATTTCTGAGAATAAAGTAGCTACTGAAAATTTGCGCTGATTGTCTAATGAATTTTATAAAGAAAGTAAAAACTACATATATGTGGGTAGTAAACTGCATTGTGCATACATTGTTGGAAAGTTGCTGTGCATTTGGCTACAGATAAACCAAGTAGCAATTGACTATTTATATCAAGGAACCAAAGAAGACACCAGACCAGCTGCTAGATGCAAATGGGATGAGATTCTAGTTGTCCTGTGCTATGGCTTCATCCCTTGAACAGCCTGGTACCTGGACCTCTGTGGCTCAGATTGTAAGTATCCCAGAAGAACCCAGATTCCTGGAAAATGAGATTCAGACTCAGTAACTTTATACTGACACTTGATCTCTATATATATATATATATATATATATATATATATATAATGCATTCCCATTGTCAGTCCAGTTCTTGGATTCACATGCTGCTGATGCCAACGGCTCAAGATATGAATCAAAACAATCACAATTACATTTTTATATACAATATTACCAATGTGATCAGCTCCTGTTAGTGGGCATTAGGTACACTCTAGGCCTATGTACTTGTAAAACTTTGGTGTATCATTTCAGACAGTCCTTGCAATAGTTCATTCAAGTTAATTTATGTTATGCATTTAAAGTTAAGAGAATGGGTCAAAGATAGGTGTAGCAATTTAACCAAAATTGAACAGCTAATATGGGACTGTTGGAAGTATAATAAAGGGCCATTAAGGGAAGGATGACAGACAAACATAAATTAAAATAACCATCATATATTTCATTCATGTGGACAAATCTATTGTAATTATTTACTTACTTGCTTATTTCTAGACATGCTTGATGAATTCCAAGTGCTGAGATTATAGGTATGGAAGCCAGCATGCCTGGTTTATGTAGTACTGGGGAGGGAATCCAGGATCTTGCACCAGGCAAACACTCTACCAATTGAGCTCAGATGTAACAAATACATTCTTTAAATAGCCAAGTAATAACTTGCCTTAGTCTGTGTGAGTATCAGTTATAACTACTCTAATCACCTTGGCTGCTCACTGCAACTTCATCTTTAGCATATAAGTAATTAGAAGCTATATCTCGATCAACCTTTATAGGCATAGACACAGTCTATGGCTCTTCTGCAGTTCAGTGACTGTCATCATTGTAATGTTCATGTCATTTTGTCTTGTTTTGGTTTTGTCCTTAGAACTATAGAGTAGAAACATGAATAAATATGAAAACATGAATAGAAAAAAGCTTCAAATATATCGTGCATATGATTATATTATATAAATAATTCATCATCAAATGCCTGTATCAACATGTTGAATCTATTACACATACATAACAGTTTATGTAACAGAAGCTTTCTATTGAAATGTGTAAAGTCTATGACCGCATCGGGAATGTTTTTAAATAACCTATTTTTTCACAATCATTTTTTAAATTTGGCAAATTTCCTTTATATTTAATCATTTTTAATCAAGAAACATGTTCCTTTATCTCAAAGTTTATAATATAAACCATTTCTGTAGCTAACACAGTACTAGCAAATACGCCACACACTTTTAAATTCAAGGCATAAGACTCCAATGCTACTTTTCCTAGTGATCACTTGTAAGTCTCCAGCAGACAAAAGCTAGTGAGCCCATGATGTCACAAGTTAAGACTTTTATGAAATTTTGGTGGCTTTGTTTGCTATATATGGCAATAGCCATTCTAACTATTTTTTTAAAACTACTAGGCAGGGGTGGATAGAATGAGGATAGAGGAAGAAAGAAAGGGCTGAAGAGAGATGGACACACTGACCAGCCCAAGCTGTTGTTCCCATTTTCCTTTCTTTTTACCCAATAAGGTCCCTTCCTTCTACTACACAGTGTAGTGAATGTTTTCCATTTTACTAACAAATCTTCCAAGGCTGTATTTAAAGGTTACATGTTATTTTGTCACTTTAGACCCACAGATAAGGTACCACTTTGTCTCCTCTGCAACACTTTAGCATCCATCAACTTTCCGGAGTCTATTCAAAAGTTGAGGCTGTGAGACTTTCCAACATTCTTTTGAGAATATAGTGAAGTCATCTGAACTCAGAGATTATGGGAAGTTTAATTCCACCATTTTGTCCCCTTCTTTCTAGAAAGGTCCTTATTCTTAGACTGTCTGTCCTTTCAATAGTCTTGCCATTGTGTCTATGTACACATTAGGCAAGAGGCAGTACCTGCTGAGACTTGGGTACTCTGTTTGGGCCCATTGAAGACCACCATGTTCAAAAGTCATCATGTAGAGGATTATGCAACTGACTTGACTCTTGAGAGGGTGATTAGAGAGCAACCAAGTGTTCCCTCATTCAATTTTCAGTTACATCTCTACTTAATGGGCCAAGCTGATCCTTAGAGGGAATAAATGAATCACAACCATACCAGAGACTATAGGTAGAGTACACAAATGACTAGTGTACTGTGAGATACTATATTATTAAATTTATCATTATAAAATTATTATACAGGGAGAATTTTCCTCATTAGACTTTAAGAAGGTGAAAACAGAAGTTTTTATGTTCTTTAATTTTTATACCACTATCTTTTAAATGTTCCCAATTATCCAAATATAAGTGAGAAAATGAGCTTGTAATAGTTGTCAATAATTACTTTTTACTTTTTCAATTCATGAGTGATTATTTTCTCTGTAGGTGCAAGAAGCAGGCACTTTTTTTCTTTTGAAGTCAGTGAATTTCTGATGTAGTATTTTTGTTATTTATGTCTTGCAGAGCTCTAAAGTACTGAGTTAAAGTGCTTTCTTGGAGCAGATTCTGCTTTGTCCCAGCCTTAGTCCTGAGTTACAATGAGCTGTGTTGCACTTACAGTATTCTACTCTGTTGCCATATCTAGAAGGAGGTGCTTGTCTCTTATAGCCATAGTGGTCACTAAATTTTTTTCAGGAAGACCTTAGGATACTGATAGCAGGCATCCAATTATTACATTTGCCAGACTTTCCAACCTCTGAAAGCTTCTGATAAACATGAATAAAACTGGGAAATAACCATAACGTGAAGTATCTCTGAAATAGTTACACCTCTCTTTTGACACTAACCTATCTTGTTTTCCTTATAAATTCAGCTATGGGAAACCTCCATACAGTTAAAAATAGAACCAAATCATGCAGTGAGTCTGCCATCTCATATTGAATTGTTCCCAGATGTTCTCATTTAGTAGTAAACAGTGTCAAGACAGCCTTTGATGGCAATATAGTCCCTGAGGATTCACTTGATAGGAGAATCCACATTGTTGCATGGAACGCTAGAGAAGTGCTTGGAGGGGGTGAGGCTCTGGGTGGTACCCCCCTGCTGAACAGCAGGTGGCTGCCCTTGCTGAGGAGGATGTGGGCTGGAGCCCAGGGCTGGGGGATGGTTCTTATGTAGGCTATTCTGGAAGCTCAAATGCTGTGCTTTAGCCGTAGGAGCAGTAATAGATAGCTTCATCATCTTCCTTCAAGGAATATATTGTCAATGTCGACGTGGAAGCACTAGAGTTTTTACTTGCCTCCATTTTTTTGTACTTCTCATCTAAGAGAATATGGGTAGGAGTTGCGATGACATATAATAGAAACTCTAAACCTTGATTGGGTTTCTGCCGGTACCAGTGTATGGCTACACTTTTAAAGCTGTTGATGGAAGCCTTACAGGATATTTGGACACTCTCATCTTTTGTTCTGGAAATCGATATTGCAGGTTGCTCTAAATTCCCAAGTCCAACTGCAAGTAAAGGAGAAAACTTCCCATAAATAACTGGCAGGTGAAGAAACAACAATACAGACAAACTTCATTTTCTGCGGTGCAGGGAAGGACAGTGGTGACTTACAAGTCAAGAGGCATGAGAAAATGACTACTTTCAGGAGTGGATTCCCATCTGCCAGGCCGGCTTCCCAGGGAAGGAGGACTTGTAAGTCAGAGCTCTTCATGATCTGTTGTAGTTACGAATGTGGCTCTGGATTTCCTGGCCCACACAAGTTGGTCAGATTAGCATGTAAGTCGGTAGCTGTTTTTCTAGGGGTGGGGCGGTCTTCTTTTCTGTTCCCTCTTCCATTGCTTACTGCAGAGATGTTGCTGGGGAGATATGAAGACATAGTTGCTATGTTCTCTTTCCATGTCTACCTGTCTGCAATTTTCTGTATGTTCTGGCCTAGGGGAATAAAATCTGACTTTAATTGTCCAACAACAACAAATCAGCCTTTGAAACGTTTTGCTGACTTCACATACCAAATGCATAAGCACTAGATACTTTATAAGTTCTTTTCAATCAATTGCTTTCATTAAACAAATTATAAGCCAGGGAAATCATTTCATTTATACTATTGATCCCTTTTAGAATTAATCAGATGCCAGTTATTGGGGCATATGAGACAGACCAGCTGTGGAAATTAGTCTTTGTCCTCCCTGGGTAATAGAACTTTCCATGAACAGATGTTGGGGCAGTAGTATTTTAAAATCAGTCCAAGTTCAATATGTAATGAAAGCTCTAAAATTAATTTTGTATCTAATAGCCACTGAGGACTTGGTTCTTGACATACTCTGTTCAACCTGTTTTCTTATATTATTTAATTCACCTTTTTCAATAACTTTGCAAGGTTGGTGTTATGAGCATCTCTGTTTGACAAATAAAATAATTCAAATAGTTTGAACTTTTGTGCTTATTTTGTATCTGAAAATAGAAATAAGGATGCTGGGTATCATTTACATTTATAAATGGGATGTGCATAACTGACTTCAAATTCCCTCCTGATTTTCCCATTGTGTGTAATAGTTTCAGCTTTTATATATATGTGAACATCATTTTTAAGAAAAATTGGCAATTAAATGTCCTCCTATAGTGCACAACCTTGTAGAAAACTAGTTGAGGTAATTAAGTTTTCTAGGCCTTCTAACATTTTTTGAAATGTTAGAAAATTTATAATGCTGTGCTATACAAAGACATTGAATCAAATGCTCAGGTATGCATGTCCTACATATCATAAGTCTTCATTGATATCATTAACTACTATCAAAATCCAGAAAATAACATTACTAGTCATTTTTATAAAACCACAATATCTTATTTGAGATTAGTAAAATTAAGAAATATAGAAGTAGAAGAAATTAAAGCTCCTGTTTCTTTGGAAATAATTACTCTTGAAAAGCTAGGAAAATATATTTCCTTTTATAAGATATCAAGATTATTTTCATATTATTCAAAGACTATTAGTTACTATATGAAAATTTCATTATATTCCATTGTATTTTTAATTTTACTGATAAATGCACAAGGCATTGATTCCAAAGGCTATATAATATTCCTTTCATGAAGCTCTAGATGAGAATCAAAGAAACATGATCCTAACTAGAAATAGGAGATAAATGGATGAATCATATGTCTATTCTACCTCCTATGTTTGTGTACCTTGCAAATTCCTCTCTACTTCCTCAAATTAACCAACAGATCATGAATCCTTGACACAAGGAACTGCAAGAATGAACATGTAGCCCGGTGGCGGTGGTGCACGCCTTTAATCCCAGTACTTTGGAGGCAGAGACAGGCGGATCTCTGTGAGTTCGAGACCAGCCTGGTCTACAAAGAGCTAGTTCTAGGACAGCCTCCAAAGCCACAGAGAAACCCTGTCTCAAAAAACCAAGGGAAAAAAAAGATGAACATGTTGATGTAATTTTGAAGAATAATTAGGTTGGAAGAGTAAATACTGTTTTCTGTGCTTTCTTGTTAGAAGACTTTTTCTAGAAGATTACTACAAGCACTATTGTTAAAAATAAAAAGACAAAGATTCTGACATGTTTTATATGATAAAAATTAATTGAAATTTTATTGTTATATTACTTATTTTACAAAACCACATAATTACTCAAGTCCTGAGCATTGCTTCAATATACCATAATAATTTACCTCAATTAATGTTATGGTATGTCTCCTCTATGTAATAGAAATAATTAATTCTTTTTTGCCCCCTGAGATGAAATATCTCAGTAACAACCAAAAAGAGCCATGTTAGCTAAATATCTACCCTGATCTATCATGTTTGGATAAATGCCTGGACCTCTTAGTGCTTCACTTATTTTCTGATACAATTGGTGAGAAAAGAGAAATCGGTATTTTAAGTGGTGTGGCTTAAAGGAATTAATATATGAAAAAGATTGAGAGAACTCACGCACGGTATTAATGACTGTCTCACCACCTCTCTTGTCCTTTACAAGTATATAAGGCTGTGGGCTCATCTAATGACCAAAGTGGCCCCACTTGGTTTTTGATGGCATCATTCTGAAAATTTTTCCTATCCCAACTCCCAGTTAAGTATTCTTCCTCCCTCTTCATGTACTGCAGACATCCTAGCACTCACTTTCAGAATTGCAATCCTTGCAGTTAGTGTGGCCTCGTGGTTTAGTTCAGAAAACAGGGCTTCTTATCTTTGCTTATCATTAGGCTTCAATTGTCTAAGCTTTAATTTTACCGTGATACAACAGATCAAAAGTAGTTATACTTCTATGGGTGGTTTGACTATAACAATCTGTTGATTGGTTTAGATTCTAAGAAGTTAGAATGTGTATTATATATTGTTAGAGCTGCTGGGAGCTGAAAATATATGTATTGCCCTATGTTCCTTCGCAGCACCTCTTCTAGGAGCCCATATTATAGGAAGTCCATGAAAACTGAAACACTAGGCCTTGCTTTCTCACTGAAATAGTCAGACAGTTTTAATAGACTTAATGTCTAAACCAAGTCAACAGGAAATGATGCTGTCCCAGAAAGTTGGGACCACAGTTCCTGGCATCTCTGGGGCACAGTTGATAGCCATCAGATTTCTTTTCTGGTTTCCCCTGATAGAAGTGCTGCAGGTGAGGGCTGGAGCTGAGCAGGGCTCAGGGCTGGACTGACTTACTCTATGTTAGGAAGGAAGTGGTTGCAGACATGCTGAGAGTGTATGTGCTCAATACTATGATTCTAATCATGGTAGGTTCCCAGGGCTAGCATGTCATCATGTCTTGTTTTTCCATGAAATATATATGAAAGACCAAAGATGGGACAGAGGGTTTTGCATGTTTCACATTTGTTGCACTTTGCCTTTAACTGACCTTGACTCATGTTTTTCCTCCTGAAGTAAATAGCAGATCCCCAACAACCTCATTTGGAGTTGTTCCATACCTCAGTATACATGAAAATCTGTATGTGGATAACTGTAGAGAAAATGCATGCCTTTCTGCAGTGGTACACATTTGCTTGGTTCACTTGAATTCAATTTCTACTTCAAACAAAAGAGCAGCATTATGAGAAACTACAAAACACCCAACATCACCTAAAATCTCCCTCAACCAATCTCAGTAATAAAGAAACAAACTCAAAGATTGAAAAGCAAGTGAATACTTGCAGCTGGTCATCCCACCTTCCTGGGCTTTTTATGTCTTAGACTTAGACTCCCTAAGGAGAAGCATGGGGAGTCAACAATCCTGGAGGAGAAGATGTCAAGCCAGCATGAAGAGCAGGAGTTTTATCTTATAGCATTTAGGTGGAAAATAGGTACACCCAGATCAGTCCTGAGAGCACTAACTGGCCAGCTTTGCCCAGTTCTATACGTCATCAAAATGATCATCGCATTTATTGAGACAATTGTTACAAAATGTGTTACCTTGTTGACTCTCATCAACACTATCATTTTACTAATTTCAATGATTATCAAACATTTGGGACATGTGTATAGTCCAGAGTTTTTTCGCCTGGTACTATTAACATTTTGGTTGTGGTCATTAGTCCTCAGGTATAAGGAGAGAGCTGTGCTATGCACTATAGAATGTTTAGCTGTGTTGTGGCCTCTACCCACTGGATGATAACACAAATCCACCCTGTTGTGACAACTTAAAAATGTCTACAAACATTTCCAGTGTCTCCTAGAGGAGATGGCCTTCAGCTGAGAACCATTGCTTTACTCACATGTTTAGGAAGATGTACATACTAGCATAATTGTCATGAAGTCTTAGTGAGATGGGGACAAAATGAGACCCCCGATGAACAACTAGCATGGGAAATTTCCCTCTAACCATCCGCATCCTTTAATCTTTCTACCACCTCTTCTTTTAGAGGAGCTTGCACAATAATTCTGTCACTTAGCATGTAACATTTATGTTTGTGGACCAGCTCTTCCCTATTACTTCCATGTCCTTACCCTATTTTCTGCTGTATTGGGGTATGTTAGAGATGCTTAAGTCCTGCATTGAATCAAGCAGAATTCTTATTCTTTCTTTCTACTGAGTTCTTCATGTTTATTGTAAATCATGGGTAATTCTTTTTATAGACCATATTAGAATAATGAATAAAATTGTTAAAATAAAACCAAAATTTCTTATTTGATTGTTTAAAATTTCCAGAACATTTTCTATACATTGGCTTATTTCATCTGAGTGATGATACTTTCAAGCAGAAAGATAATCCCAGAGGAAATATGCTAGTAAAGGGTGATGCTGAACCTCAGTCCTATTTATTTAATACCAAGTCACATGGAGTACAGAAGGGAACATGAAGCACCAGTGTCCTGCTTCTCAGATCCTGCCTGACTATCAACTATGAAAACTAAATAAAAAAATTCCTACCCCTACCTCTGTTTACAGAAAGAGAATAGCAGGGTACAGCAGGGTACACAGTGACACAGAATTCTGTGGCCTCCACATCAGTCACCTTCTTCCTCTCACAGACGCCTCCTCTTGAAGAGCTGCAGCACAAAGCTTTGTGGGGTAGATTTTAGGTATGCTCTTGTATGACCTTAATTTTTGGCTCAAGTGTTATTGATAGCATCTTGAGTGAGAACATCATGGAGTCTTCAATCCTGGCAGATGCTTGGTGTGATGGTATATCATAGTCAAGGTTTTGAGGTTTGACAAGCCTATCTTATTCTTCTAGAGACATCTCTACACTGGACCTCAGTAAAGA